AACGAACAATGTGAAAACATTACACTCGATTGAAGATGCTAAAGAATACACTAAAGATCTTGCTGACATTTGGGAACTACAGCGTTATCAAAATGGTAAAGAATTTGTTGCCATGTTACTGAGAGCACTTGATCAACGAGAACATCCAGAGATTGCATATGATTATGCATTTACCGATGCACAGGGTGGAGACTATTATATTTTGGTTATTATTCGTAAATATGCGGACAGAATAGAGATTTGTTCTTCGTATCAAGACATGACTCTTGTTAGCGGCGCCTATAGCGGTATTGCTTTATTGGAACGTAAACTAATTTCTTGGCTAAAAGAAAATGCATCAAGAAGTTTGGAGACACATACGAAAGTAGTAAGAAATTTTAGTGCAAATTTATACACTGCACAAACTAACACTATATCAAGTGATGTTGGTGGTGATATGTACGGCTATGATTCGCATGGAAACGTATTACAACGACATGGTAAAAAGTGAAGCAAAAATAATTTCTTAAATTGGATCAAGACACACATACATAAGAACTATCCCTCTTTATTAATCAGGACATTTTCCATGCACTGCCAATATTAAAAAAAATTAAATATTATCTTATTTTAAAATTTGTGTTTTGATATTTTCTTCGAGAACGTATAGTTTACATTGCTTTTCGAATGAATTCTACCTCTCATCTGACTAACTTTTAAAAATTTGTAGATCTATCGTAATCAACAATCTGTTACGTCTAAGAATGACTGACCGAATGCGAATTGCAATTAATCGAAATGATTTTGATGCAGCAGAACGTTATCGAAAGAGCGGTCAACATCAAGAATTTAAAGAAAATACCTCAGCGACAGAATCCATCTATATCTATGCTGTTATTTAACCGCATAAGGATGGCAGAGTCACGGTGATTTTCTCGCAGCACTGTAATAACGAATGGTACAATTACAAATGAAGTAACCGAATGGTGCAAACAAGAAGCTGGTCGAAATTTGAAATCCATGCTGCCGAAAAGCATTGATTTTGATTACAATTTCTCATATTGACATCCAAAATTGCTGAACGATACATAATCGAGAACTTTGTGCTGCATCTTTTTCTTCTCAATCTTTTGTAAAAATTATATACACTTCAGATCCAATATGAATTAAACGGAAAAACTATTTGAACTGCTTCGACCACAGATAGCAAAAGGAAGGAAACTTAGACGAAGGGTGGGTGTTGGGTACGGGTGTGCGGTGTGGATGTGGGTGCGGATGCCCGTTTCAACTACACTGGTACCGACATCCCCAACCACACCCACACCCACTATTGATTATGCTCAACTTTACTTGTTGTCACTTGTGAATTTTTCACAAGAAATAATGTTACGATATTTAACAGGTATAATTTTCAAATTAGCAGAGTATTTGTGTTGTAAAATATTGAACGACAATTTTTTTGTTTATATATATTCAAGATAATAGAATTCTTCGTCATCTTATTACTAGTCAAATAACATCTCTTAATATTGGCATTATTAAAAAAATAATATCAAATTTTTCTGTCGAAAATGAATCGAATATATTTTCATTGATATTATCTATATGTAAAAATCTAAATGATTTAACCTTTAAACAATGTTTTAGTGATGAAAATCTAACAATTTCAATTTATAATCTATCGTCAGCAAGTTGTGTATCTTCGGCTTTAACTAACTTAAACATATTTGTAAATACTTTCGATGATTGTTTTTATCTTCTTGATGGACGTTTAGAATCTTTGTCCATATTGATTATCGATATACTTAAAGTTAGCTATGTACCATCGAATATAGATCATAAAGTAAGTTAAATTAATTTCTAAATTTGAACAAAAGAGTTCAATTAAAAATTTATTCTATTTTATTTTTAATAGAAGAAATTTCCTAAATTGAAGTGTTTTTCATTAAAATCATATTGTCGTACATTCTATTATGACAGTCAAATTGTTCCATTGCTTCGTCGAATGTTGAATCTTGAAGAATTGACATTACTTCTGGCAGTAATAAGAATCAATTTGACTGATATAGATGATATTCATTTATATGATGAGATTCTTATTCATATGCCACGATTAAACAAACTTATGTTTAGTATAACAACTGTTATGTATAATATTCAGGAAAAAATTGATCTTCCACCAAATGAAAACATACAACATGGTTTTCTCGAAAGAGCAATATATCAAGTTGGCTCTTATATTACTAAAAATTCATCTAAGATACGAAATGAGTGTTATACTTATTCAAGTCTATATCCAGTTGATGTCTTTGTTTATATGACCAGTAGTTTTTCAGGTGGAAAGTTCGATGGTTGATAGGATTCCATTTGAATATGAATTATTCAAAATTATTTCTCAAGACTTTCCTTTTCTCAAAAAATTCTCTATATTTAATGCTGTAGCACAGCGAAAGAAGCGATATTTGCTTCCATTCATTACATTTTCACATATTGTCAAACTTCATTTGGATTTGAGGCATATTGATTATGTTGAACAATTTCTTTATGAAAGAAATGCTCATCTACCTCGCCTATTAAGTCTTCAAATCCAATATGAAATATTATCAATTTTAACAAATAATTTTACTAATGATTCAGCACGTGTCAATTGTGCTAAAATATAACGTCTCGTTATAAAAGAGCCATTCGTATGTCCACAAAATTTTCATTCATATTTTCCTTTATTGTAATGATTACTACATTTTTTGTCTTGATCGTCACCGTAATCAAGTACTTAATAGAGAAATTGAAAATGTTCGAAAAAGTGATATTATAAAAGAAAAGAAACAAAAATTGAATTACTGATTATATAATAAGTTACTATAGATTTATCTATTGAGACAAAAAAAGATGAATACAGAGATGTGTCAAATTACGGACCAAGCATCGCGAAGAATATAAATTTAATTACATTAGTTTGAAAATCTCATCGAATATCTAATTCAATGCATTCCTTCTGACGACATTATTTTCAACTTGAAGTTCGATTTTGAGTAAAGTACTTTTGTTCTAATTGTTATATTTCAGACAAATTTGTGTCTTTATTTATTTATATTTGACAATTCTCGAGTAAAAGAAGCTCCATTTAAAATCAGCGCAAAACTCTGAATTGATTTATATCTCGTTCAAATTGTGACTCGAAGTTCTCATCCATGTTATATATATGAAGAAATGAAGTTCATAAAACCAACTATTTAAATATCTAGATATAATATCTCTGCTTTTGCCTTCGAATAACATTTTCAAAATTTTTTGATGAAATCTATTTTTCTATATATGTATAAGGAAGACTTGAAGTCAAAATTTGATATTTGTCTAGTGGCAAACGAAAAGTTCTTTTCTTCGAAAATCGTCGAATATAAATAAAAAAAAGTTAGGAACGGGGGGGGGGGAGCTTATTTCCGTATTTCTATGTATTTTCAGGTATTTCGTAATATATCAGCAATATTTTGTACTTCAATGCCATAGTTTCTTGAGATAATCATATACATATATGCTAATATATTGTGAAATACTGGATAGAACATATCGAGGCACTTATGAAAAACTATTTTCTCGATTTTTCAAAATAAGTTTTTCCTCGGTGTATTCGAGAAAAGACTAAATTCTAAAAATAGTGATTCAAGTCATCCATTATCACAGATATGTAAATGTACCAAAGATTTTTCATTCTTTAAGAATATTATAATGGTTATTTTCTGATTCTGTAGACAAAATTGATCGAAAAAAAACCTTATATTGGTACTGTTCAATTATGATGGGATTATAAAACATGCTAAACTCCGTCTTTTGTGGGTGTGAGTGCAGATCTGAATCTTTCCTTAACTCACACATCTACCCTTTTGTTTTTGGAGAGAAGTATATCAGTCAAGTAGTATATATGAATAGTAATTCAAGAGTGAATAGTTATTGAAGCAATTTTCTAAGCTCGTTTATTATTTAAAATAGTGATGAAAATATATTTATTTGATGGAGTTATATGATTCAAAAGTTCTTAGAAAATAATTTATATTTCATAAGTGTGATATACAATCAAGAATTTCATTAATTCAATTATACTGAAATTAATGTTATCTCTTTTTTAAAATAAACTTTATTGAGAACACATGGAGAATTTCTATTGATTATATCATTTTTTAATTTTCTATCGTTCTCATTTAAGAGTGTTATTATTTACCAAAACGGAGAAGATATTCATGTATTCGAGTATTTGCTGTCAAAGTTTTTATTTCATATTTTCAGAGTAGATGATGATCAACACACAGCATCCTTTTAATAAGAAGTTTGGCATACATATACATGAATTGACATTATTTAATTCGTCTAAATTTTGTTTGTAATTATCATTTCAAAGAAAAACGCAAAATAACGGTAAGTTTTATTAAATCTGACGAAAAATGATTTTCTAATAAACTTTTTCATGAAAGAACGTATTTTATTACACATTTTCTATAATTAATAATAATCGAACGAATTTTGTTAATATTTCTTTTTTTTAATTTTTTTCGTTGAACTATAGAAAAATTCCAATCAGATGAAATTAATTAAATGGAGTTTGAGAAAATGTCTGAGATTAGTTTTCGTCGCTCATAAATTAATGATTATTTTACGTTTAAAATAAAAAGACATCTGGAATGGCAGAAAATAAGTATGTGCTGAAAAGGAATTTAAACTGAAAAAAAGAAAACATTTGATTTCGTAAAATATTTCTCTAGTGTTTGCTTATTGATGTATTTTTAAAAACAAGATAATTGTATATTACAGCCCGAAACTGAGTTGAATTAGAATTATATCGTCGAAATGTTCGTCTCTCTGAAAATACTCATATTGAAAGTGTATATGTACAGTAATCATTATCATTTTTTTTTGACAGATGGATTAGATATAGCATTAATGACGAACAAACTGATTTTGTCTATTTCAATGACATGTTTTTCTTCTGTTGATTTCTCAGAGTTTTCAATATTCTGAAATTCTATTCTATTAGTACTGTTTTTTTATGACCGATACTAAAACTTTATCTAGTTCCAATGATTAGTTCATAAAAACAGGAGATTCTTAAAAAGCCTAACGGGGGTCAATTTTTCAATTACGATGTCTCAAAAAAACAAAATTGATAGAAAACCATTTTTGAAATTAGAAGTATATATCGAAATCTGGAACATTTTACACAATTTCTAAGTTTTCAAGGCGCTAGCAAACTTTTGGCAGTGTCTGTTCTTATTTCGGAATAACTTAGGTATGCGTTGGCGACCGTCAGTGTAGGATATTTAGAAGATCAATCAATCATACGTAATTATTCTTCTGATGTGAAACAGTTCAAAGTATATGCAGATACTGAATAGTGATCAATTGGTAGCAACATCATACATTCTATATTTATTGTCAGTCGAATCCTGCACGTATCCACGATGGACAACAAGTAGAACACACAAGAGAGAGCTCTAGATTACTACGAATTTAATCCATCAAAGATGATAATTTTTAGCATCAGGAGGCGTACATATTAGATAAATAAATGAGTAATGAATACGAAGTCAAACATATTGACTCTGAAAATTATTTTTGCCAAGCATATTTACTTCTTTTAATGATATTTGTTAATCAAACAGTCTGTGTGGTGTAATTTTTTGTTTGTTGAAACTTATTTATGAATCTATAAAGCAGAATATTTTTGTTCATTAATTAATATATGAAGAAGAACCTTGTTTACAAGAAGAAAAAAATAATTATTAACATTTAAATCAATGTTTTATTGCACTTCAAATATGTTTTGTGTCCATACTCTATCAAGAATGTCGGTTAAAGGGATGAGATTTCTGCGATAGCCAAAACATGACGAGAGATAGACTTGGAATCAGTACCAAACCGGTTGAACTCTTCATATAAGGCTGTTTTCACCAGTCTTTTGCTGTTTTCATTGATTTTCACGGTTTGAATGTTCGAGAAAAACGAATTTGAAACTTCAATCCAATAAATTTCTAGTTGACATCGAAATTTCAGTTGAAAATGGTGATTTAGCACATTCTGCTATACAATGAGTGTCCTCGAATCATAATGAAGACACTGATTATGGTTTAAAAAAAGCTACTCATCGATTCAGACTGAAACAAGTTGTAGACTAGAAAACTTCCCATCTCAAAATGTTAAGCTCACTTCTGAACTGTTTTGCGCTGATAGTGAAAAACTCTTAACGGTCAAAAATTCTCATGAGGGACAGACTTTCTTTTCTGTCTATCATAATTCCCATTGTATTTAAGCAATCGGTATAAGCTGGAAGCTCTGATCTACACTCTCTATAGATTATATGCATAGAAACTTTTAGATCTTTAGTATCTATGTTAGCTGAGATCTGGTAGCGGGGAAGACTTTTGTGCATTGTTATAACTTATGAAAATTTTGGACGATCCGATATTATAAAAAATTTGCTTTGAAAATAAACACATTCAACTGATACTGATATAGCAGAAACACGTATGATTTTTCTAGCAAGTTTATTGTATGAATTAGGATTCGTGGTTGAATTTTCTTCCTACATAAAACCATTAATTTCTTCTGAAAGTTTGATGCTGGACTCTAAAAGTAGAGTATAGTCAACGACAAAAGTTTAAGCGATTTTGTTTTTTTTTCAGACCGAATTTCACATTAAAAGGTAGAGACCCGATTCATTATGTGCTTTCCAGTTTTTCGCATTTCCTAAGCAAGAAATTTGCATTAAAGTGGGAAGAAAATAGATCAAGCGATAGAGAATTTCATGATCTGTCAGTTTCTACAAATAAGTTTTTGTTCTTGGCGTTGATCTTTATCTTAAAAACCTGATTTTATTGAGAATATACTCGCATTTGAATTTTTTGAAGATAAACTTCTAAAGAATACAATTTTCTTTAAAATGAGGCACATCCCAACTTTCCAGGTTCGAAATATATTCAAATATGAGCGATATATGATGGAATTTGAAGGGTTTCACTTTTTTGTGCGCTTCGCCTGTTCCCAATAAGATCAGGTTTTGAAGATTTAGAAATCAACAAAACATAAAATTCTTTATCGATTGATCTCTTTTGTATTCATTTTAATGCAAATTTCTTGGTGAGGAAATACAAAATACTGCAAAGCGTATAAATCTATTTCAAAATAGAATGCATCTCGTTGTTTTACAATTCAATCGATAATACAAATAATTTTTTTTATTGAAAAAAAGCAGTTCATATCGAATTATTAACAATGATGAAAATAAAACCAAATGAAATTCCAGATGCTGTCAATTCATACCTGTTTCATTGCGTGATACATTAATGAAATATGTTCATAAAAATTTTGCAAATCCAAAAGATTATTCAAGTAATACTTTATTACTGATCATCTTGATGCACGTATGAAGAAGGTTTTCTTTTCTAGACGAAATTCTATAAGTTTATCTTTATTTCTAGATAACATGGTATCAAAAAGTTCTTACATTATCACAAAAACAAGTGGTTTTTATTTAGTAACAAACGAAATTTTACAACAAATACCTGAAATAAAAGAAAATGAAATTGGTTTAATGAATTTTTTCATTCAACATACAAGTATATCATTATTGATTAATGAAAATACTGTACCTGATGTACGTGTTGATATGGAAACAATATTTAATAAACTTCTCCAGAAAGATAATTCTTATTAACATTTAGATGAAGGTAAAGATTATATGCCGATACATACAAAATGTTCATTGCTCGATTCATAAATTAATATTCTTATTACATTAGGACGTTTAGTTTTTGGTACTTGGCAAGGAACGTATTTATGTGAACAAAACAATTGTGCTAAAAGTCGAAATATTGCTGAAATAATCAATGGGCAACCGAAAAAAATCAAAAAGAATTCCTTCGAAAATTTATTTATACGAGCCTGTTAGAAATTAAGCTTTTTTTTGTTATGGTTGAATGTTTTTTATAGTAATCAATTATGAGTTGTCAAGTTATAGAAGATTTATGAATAGACGAAAATAAGAGTAAAGAAATTTTGAAATTATTCTTCTTTGAAAAGAGCAAAGAAAAGATCAAGATGCAAAATTAACTTAAATAATATTTTTAGTGTAATTCGAATTGTCTTTTATTGTAGCTAATGTGAGGAAAGTTATTAGTGCTATTGCTAACGATGGAACCTCTTCAAATGTCTCCTTTTGATTTTTATCATTTCTTGCTGATAGATATTAAATAGAGTTCTAACAAATGGTCTAAAAGGATTCAGGTTTCTATTGAGATTCGATAGTTTAGTCAAGTCTCAATAGGAACTAAAATCTTATCTTTAGATAACAAATCATTGAAATTGGAAGGGAGAAGGCTGATGAAATATTCTCATAAGTTCAGACTGATATTATACTGTCTTGTACAAATCAAAATTTCGTAAATTACCGTTAAACAAACCAATAATAAATGCAGAATTTATTCAATATCATCTAACTATGAATATAGAATTGTTCAAGGTTTCTTTTCTAATCTTTTTCATATAACAAAATATGTAATAATTGGATTAATTCATTTTAACAATATATGGTAACAACTATTGATGATTTTTATCTCGGATATGTTTTTTTTTTGTTGTTATTCATATATTCTTAATTTTTCTAAATGAATCAGTAAGAGACGTTCAGTTCTTATTTCCAGTACTTTTAAACATAAGCACAGAAAATTGATTTTAATATAAAAACAACATGGAAATGAAGTGTGTGTTTTTTGAATTGGGTTGAGTCAAGAGAAACTTAAATATTAGCATTGATGACTAGAACCATAAGATAGTTGTTTTAGTTTCTTTTTGACTTCTAAAATAAATTTAAAATAAAAGTATTAGCTAATCCACAATGATGCAAATGAAAAAGGATGAAATTGACATAAGGGTGTGGATGAAACTCTTGACTTCAATTTGTGTCATTCAATGCATAATGAGATACAAAAATTGAATAACTTTCTGAAATATGTATTACTCTTCTAATAATTCTTACATATTCAGAGGTTCTTCCAATATAATACAATTCACTAAAATCTCTCTTTTTCTCTCTTGGCATTGCTTATTTGTCAAAATTACATTAAAATCATTAGCTAAATGAAATCCTAATCGATATCAAAATATTCACTCATATTGCACGTTTATCCATACCGAATTGGTTGACATATGTTGCGGAACACATCAGTTATAGTTTAATATGTGACAGATCTCATTCGCAATTTCATAGATCCATAAGAATTGGTAAAATTTTTATCAATTGAGGTCATGCTATATATGCTAAGTTACCATTTGATGTTCATCGACATTGTCTTGTTGTTGCTTATCCAGTCATAACAACAGATTCAACAGTTCATACTGGTCTTGAA